TCAAGTTCGTTTGGATTTGTAGCAGGTTCGAAATTAGTGTTCCGTTGTCAATCTGGCACAAATGTAGACTACCATACCCAAATGAATTCGGCCATATTTAAAGAATGGTTCATTCAAATGTTGAAACATTTGGAAGAACCATCCATTATAGTTATGGATAACGCGTCATACCAYTCCACTACAACAATAAATTACCCGAAGTCAAACGCCAAAAAATCTGACATTCAACAGTGGTTAACAGAAAAATGTATAGATTTTTCGTCGATTGAAACTGTGAGTGAGTTACGTAAACGGGTAAAAGCTGCAACGCCTAGGGAAAAGGAGTATGAACTTGATGGCATTGCTTTAGAAATGGGACATACAGTTGTACGATTKCCACCATACCACTGTCAGTATAATCCCATCGAGCTTATATGGGCTCAAATTAAAAATAAAGTGGCAGAATTGAACACCACTTTTAAAATTGCCGATGTCGAAAAACTGGTAAACGAAGTCATAGACTCAGTAACGGTCGATGATTGGAAGCGTTGTGTCAAGCACTGCGAACAATTGCAGGAATCAKATTATATAAAAGAAGGGTTACGGGACGAGATTTTAGAACCAATTATTATAACTATAAATCCTGATGAAACTAGTGACAGTGAAGATGACGACGAAGACTTTTAATTCTATAATTTTTTTTTTATATGTTATAACTTTTTTTTTTATATAAATATTTTTGAAACCTAATAAAAATGAATACAATTTATATTGTTATTGGAATACTTGTTTGTATTAATTATTTATAGTTAGTATTATTAATTAAGGTTGTGAATRATTTAGAGGTACGATATTAATATTATGAATGAAAAATCAAAAATACACTCACATATAAAAATGTTAAATTCATACGTACATATTATGAAAATGTACATATAATTTTAAATTTCCCGCGCAAGTCGAAAGTTTGGATGACACTGAAATTCAAATTTTTGGCCACCGGTCGCGCCACTATCGAGTATTTTAGTAATAATAAATGGAGAAGTTGAAAGACGATGAAATTGAGTTGTTCTTGGACTTTGAAACACCAAGTGACTCAGAAGTCAGCTTTTGTGATAGTGAAGACGATGATAGTGATGCTGAGAATAATAAAAACAAAAATGATGACCAGGAAGATAATATTGAAAAATTAAATTTATTGCCKCAATATATTAACTTCTTAGGGGATATGAACAATGATATAAGGTTTGAAAATAATAATCCATCTAATGAGCCTGATGGCTTTGTAATAATCGACGAAAATGATGTACATGATTTTGATAGTTTTTTTAATAACATAATACTCCAAACACAAACAGATAGTAATGTTAGCAAACAAACTATACCAAAATCTGATGTTGCTGCTCAAAACAATTTAGTCTCACCCACACAAACATCTAACCAAATTCTAGTCACTAACAAAAAAAAAAAGAAAAACTCCATCAACCGATTCTAAAAGTAAAACTAAGTTTAAAAAATCTGCTTTACTAAAAATTAACAATAATAAACATAATTGTTTACCTGTCAAGAAAAAAATACAAAACAGACAAAATGGTTTCCTGGTAGGGATAATAATCATACAAACTCCATACCTACTTGTACTAGCAATAAATTAATTAATATAAATGTAAAAGAAACTACTCCTTATTCTGTTTTTATACAATTATTCACTGAATCTCTTTTTGAAAAAATAAGAACTGAAACAATAAAATATGCTGTTCAAAATGGAAAAGAAAATTTCAACTTATCTATAAAAGAATTGAAAGTGTTTTTTGCAATCAACATAGCAATGACATATATAAAATACCCAAATGTAAGAATGTATTGGTCTTCTCAAGAGGGGTTGAGAATGAACCTTATTGCTGATGCTATGACTTATAACCGGTTTGCCGAAATTAAAAGGTTTATTCATTTTGTAGACAATTATGAAAAACCTCAAGTAGTGACTGATAAATTTTGGAAAATTAGACCAGTTTTAGACATTTTACACAATTCTTTTCATTCAGCTATATCAACTAGTCAAAATATAGCCATTGATGAAATGGTGGTTCCTTTTAAGGGTAGGAGTTCATTWAAACAATACTTAAAATCAAAGCCTAAAAAATGGGGATTTAAAATTTGGGTTCAAGCCGGAACCAATGGATATGTACATTGTTTTGAGCTTTATCAAGGTGCCTCGAAAGACAAAAAATCACTTTTTGGTCCAATAGGTGATACAGTTTTGAAATTGTGTCATTCAATACATGGTGAAAACCATAAACTTTTCATGGATAACTTGTTTACTACTGTAATGTGATACTCCAGTTTGTCCAGAGTGCATGGAAGACTTCCATAGAAAATAAAGAATAAACTATAATATTTTTTTTTTTACTTTGTTTTGATATTTGTTGGGTAACATTTACTAATGTTTTTATGTTTATTTTGTGCAATTTAGTTATTGTTTACTATTTTTATTATTATATTATCTTCATAAGACATATTACAAGTTATTATTTTAATTTTATACAGAGTATGAAAGAAGTTTTTCATTTATTTTTATTTTGTTAGTAACATATTTTTTATTTTATGCATATATTAATTGTATTACTATTATTCTTAATCTATTTATAATCACAAGCTGTGAAAGATTTAATTTTTATTTTATACAGGGTATGTTCAAAAGCTGTGAAAATATTGTTTTTATTTCATACAAATTGTTATTATTTTATGTTTGGATTACATTAAATATTCAAACATCTTTATAGTTATTCAAGTTGTAGATATCCTAGATATTCCAGGGGGCATGTCCACCTCCTACCCAATATATTTACCTTAAGTATATAGTTAATGTGTATTTAATAATTTTAATTTGTCAAAATTTAATATGTATTAATTATAAAAATGCATTTAAAAAAAAGTTGTTCCAAATATGCACAGAGGTATCATATGATAACGGGGTTGTAATCTATCTTCACGACATAAGGGTTGGTCCTAGATTTTTTTAACTATTTTTCTCATTATTTACGGCCCAAATTCTATATAGGAGGTTTTTTTTTTGAAAATCTAAAAAGTCCTGCATGAAGAGGTTAAGTACTATAGTGCGTTTCACAACAACTGCGACTCGACGGTAGCGCGACTCGTGGCGGTTTTGTCTCAAACCAGGGGCTCTCAATCTAGGATAGGAAATAAATAGCGTGCGTTTTTTCGAAACAAATGGTAAGAGCAGCTGGGTTATGGGTATGTTTATTTTATGTACCGCTATTGTGTATGAGTAGGTTTGATACTCCCATCGACCCCATGCGTAGGAATGTATTCAAACAACAACCCCTGTTGCAGCAATAGTTGCCATCCAGATTCCAGACTCCAGTGTGTAGTGCGTATTGTTGTACTGTTGTTCGTTGTTGACTATTCATTACGCATTACTTACGTATTACGTCTGTGCGATTTATATATTTTTTTAAATATAGTTAATTATTTATTTAAAAATGTCTTACCATTCAGTAGATATTCACTCTCAAGCTAAAAAAATGGTTTTTAGTGTGTATTCGTATTTTAAAAAATTATCTAATGACTCGTCGAATCCTGAAGTAGCAAATTTTTTTCGACAAGCGCAACAAAAGACTTCTGAAGCATGTGGTATCAGCATCGGCAGTGTTAAAAGAATAACATCGGAAGGCTCTAAAGCCCCTTTAGATCCAGAAACTGAAGGACCGAAATTTACCTCTCCTCGTAAAACATTCAAACGAATTAAATTTGCTACAGATAATTGATGACTTTGACCAAGAGGTTGTACGACGGACGGTCCACAAGTATTATGATAAAGGTGAGTTTCCTACATCCATAAAAATTTTATCTAAATTTCAAGAAAAAACTGACTACAAAGGTTCTAAAACGTCGATGTGGAGAATTTTGAAGTCATTGAAATTTAGGTACAAAAAATGCAATGACGGCCGTCGATTTCTGATGGAGAGAAACGATATTGTCGCTATGCGTGTACGGTTTTWGAGACAAATGGTTAATCTCCGTAAAAACAATGATGTTCGACCAGTTGTCTATTTAGACGAAACATGGGTGAACCAAAATCATACACGGAATTACATTTGGCAAAATTCGGAGGGTAAAGAAGGATTTAAAGTACCGACAGGCAAGGGAGATCGGATTATTATTTGCCACGCTGGTTCGAGTTCATTTGGGTTTGTGAATAATTCAAAATTAGTATTTCGCTGTAAATCGGGTCCATCTGAAAACTATCACTCCCATATGAACTCTGATATATTTAAAGACTGGTTCATACAAATGCTCAACAATTTGGAAGAGCCATGTGTCATAATTATGGATAATGCATCATACCACTCTAGTCTTGTTGATAATTATCCAAAGAGTAATGAAAAAAAAATCAATGTCCAAAAATGGCTACAAGAAAAGGGAGTTCAGTTTTCACCCTTGGAAACGTTGCCGGAGTTACGAGAGCGAGTCAAGCAGTTAATACCACATGAAAAAAAATATGAGCTGGATMAGATTGCGTTGTCAATAGGTCATGAGGTGATACGGCTACCTCCGTATCACTGCCAATATAATCCTATAGAGCTAATTTGGGCGCAAGTAAAAGGAAAAATCGCTGAAGAAAATACGAGCTTTAAAATYGCGRACGTCGAAAAATTGGCTCATGATGCATTGGATTCCGTAACAGTTGACGACTGGAAGAGGTGTGTGACACATTGCAATAAACTGCAAGACGATGATTACGTCAAAGAGGGCTTACGTGACGAAATTTTGAAACCAATTATCATGACAATAAATCCAAAGATAGCAGTGAAAGCGAAGATGATGACTATTAATAAAAATATATATATACATATTTATACAAACCTAACCATATGTAAATATCATGTTAGTATACAAATAAATCGTACACAAAGTTTGTATCTTCATTACTCAATGATTTATGTGTTTTATTGTCTAGTCAATTTTTAAAATTCTTTATTTATTAAAGTGGTAATTAAAGACAATT